ACTGCAATACCATGAAGGGCTTTATAAGTTAGTTACAACTAGCACTTTGAAGCGTATCCGGAGACCGATCGGTAGCCAGTGCAGCTCGCGGTGGATAGGTGTAAAGTGGGGGTAATGAGGTGCACCCACAATCGCTCGCATGGCTGCATTCTGGACGAGTTGAAGTCTCCGAATACTCTTCAAGGGCTGCCCCATGTAGACCGCATTGCAGTAGTCCAGTCTTGATTTACGAGCCTTGAGCTAAAGTTCTGTGAAAACTGGCCTAACTGGCCCAATTGGCTTCCTGCACCATGGCAGGTGGGGCATTTTCACCCTTCCCAGGCGCCGCGCCCGAGGCTTTCCTCGAGCCTCCAGAGGAGCCAAAACAGCCTCCCCCAGGCTCTGGAGGCTGGAAATGGGCCCATTTTCGAACTACTTCCGGTAGACCCATTTTTCACCCTTCCAGAGCCTCCATGGGGGCCCTGCACTTACCTCGCATCCAAAACAGACTGTGTAGAGACTCCTTTGAGGGGAGAGGCAGGGTAGGCAGGGTTATCCCTTACAACTACCGGTTCGGTGAACCAAATTAAAATTAACATCTGGTTTGCTCGAACCAATCTGAACCGGCTGAATCCCACCCCTGGTTTTTACTGTCCCAAAGGTGTTTTTCCAAAAGGCAACTGAAATTTCTTGTCCCCCCCCCCCCCCATGGATGCGCGCAGCACGTGCATGTGTCTTACCTGCTCCCCCCCCCCGTGGAAACATCCAGCTGCTTGGCGGAGCATCGGGCAAGCCCCGATCAGCTCAAATACAGATAAGGAGGGCTGGCGGGTGGGCAGGCCCTCCGGAGCACTGTCCCGGAACGGTATCTGGTGCTCCCAGCAGGCACCGGTATGCCCATTCCAGGAATGGGCGTACCAGTCGTATCCCACCACTGAGATAAGCCCTATCCCTAAGGTAGATCTAAGAAAATCTAAAATGTTGGAAGGCAAAGATGATGCCTGGCCACCAAGAAGGGAAGAAATTAGCTAGCTTCCTTAATTAGACCCAAGGAAACATAGCTTTGAATATGTGAAGGAACTCAAATAAGAGTTACACACAGAGGTGGCATTCAGCCGGTTCGGACCGGTTCACCCAAATTGGTAGTGGAAATCGTGGGTGAGCCTGCCCAAATGCCCCGGCTCTATGCCGTCCTATTTAGGCACTTTTTCAAGACGTGAGCATGCATTCAAGCCGCGTATGCGA